AGGGCCCGCCGCGAGTGGCCGGCCGCGCACGCACGGCCCCTCCTCGCACGTCCTCCCCGCCCCCAAGACGCAGCGTTCCGGGCCGGAGTCCGGGGTGGGATGGCCCAAGGTCAAGCCATCGGGTCGCGAGGCCGGAGCTGGGGGCCTCAGCCCTTCGGGAGTGGGGCGTCCCGTGGCCCTGCTGTCATTCCTAGATGCAAGTCCTTACAGCTCTTGCAGGCGTTTATTCTGTTAACGAACTGGCCCCTCTGCGCGTCCCTCCCCCACAGACGCTCCCTGAGCGTTTCAAGACCTTTCTGATGTCGGGGTCCCCGTGCAGCCTTCTGCCCCCCCCCCATTGGTCTTAGGATCGCATCCCCACTCACGGATACCTGCTTACCGGCCTTGAGGAAGCCGACCCTTGCTGCGCAGACCTGCTCCCCAGCGCCGCCCCCCACCCCCACCCCAGGTCCTGCCTTCGAAGTCTCTGGGTTCTCACCTCTGGTCCTTGGAGCGGTTCCTTGTCCCAGCGGCCCTCACATCCTCCCTGAGAACACCCTCCCCGAAGGGCTCTTGGTCTAGAGGTCCCCCCTCCTGGGTTCAGGCTCTCACCACGTTCCTCTTGCTATTTCTTTCCTTACTGAGCCTGTCCTTTCCTTGTCTGCCCTGCTGGAGGCTGAGTCTCCTGGCTTAGTGCCTGCGGGGTTGGGGTTGGGGCCCAGGCTCTTGTGTTGCTTATAGGCTGATGGGGACGAACCGTTTTTGAGCAACTGTGACTTGAAAGTGCCTTCTGCTCTCAACCTCTTTTTCTGATTATATTGTTCAGTGCTCCCTCCCCGCAGCCGGTAGCCTGTCTTCTTGAAGTAAGGGCCCGCGTGTCTTACAGAGGTGCATGTCTTGTCTCATCGTGAGTCCAGGTGCCAGGTGACTCACTTTCTGAGTCCAAGGCTGCAGATATGCCTCGCTCAGCTTCTTAGGTACCTGTGGAACCCAGGATCCCGGAAGCCTGAGCCTGCGCGCTTTAGTGGTGACAATCATAGCAGCATTTTCAAAATGGCGGCTTTGGTCAAAATCCATCAGTGTTCTCTCACTTGAACTTTACAATAATCCTGTGATGGTAATACCTTGATTGTCCTGTTACACACAGAGGCCAGCTATCTGCCTCCTAGGGCCATTATATGATTAAGTAGGATAATGTAGATGAAATCAGTACGGTACCTGCAGGCAGTCATCATAACAGTGACAGACAGGACATGCTCTACAAGGCTCCTGCACCCTTCAGATCGAGCTCATGGGGACACAGAGTCTGAGAGGGGGGAGAGACCAGCAGACCAACAGGCGGTGCCAACCTGGCCTCCCCCATCTTACACGGGGGAGCAAATTGGACTGTGATCAATTAAAAAACTCTAGTGAAAGTGAAAACTAACCTTTCAACTTAGCATGTGTGACAGAGCCATGATGGCAGCTGAGTTTTATGGATCGGGTTTGCCAGAGCAGACTCATTTGAAATCACTTCAAGAAGGGGGATGGTTAGTCATACACCAGGTCACCCCATAGTGCGGGCTAAGGCATGAGTGCTTGCTTCCATACCTGCCCACTACCCCGAGTGTTCGTAAATGTCACTTCAGGTTGTCTGAAAACTCGTATGACTGCAGACACATACCAGGACCTTGGGGCTTGAAGGCCTGCCCGCTCCATCTAGTCAGAGCCACAGTTTCCTGAAGGTATTGACCTTTGATTGGAGTAAGGAGGGGCTTGACCAGGTCACCACATCCCTCACCATGTGATTGGTTTAGGGGTAGGCACATGATGTAACTAGGCCAGTGAAAACCCTCTAATGTTGCTAAGCAGCTGTGAAATAGTTCTGGAGCCAGGGGCCATCTTGCCACTCAGAGTGACCTTCCTGAGGGAAGTCCTTGAGCCATAGGGGAGATGGGGGCAGGGGTGGAGGCGAGGGAGCTCCTGAACCCAGTCAGGCCCTAACCCAGATAACTAGGCACTGCAGCCAATTACTGTCATGTGTTCATTTAGTCAGTTAGTGTATCTCTAACTTGCAAGGACGAATCATGAATGTGGGTAAGTGCAAGAGTAATGAGCTATCAAATTTTGTCTATGTGCCCACCTGTGAGCCTCCCAGTGGCTCCCTAGACCCATGCAGACCCTTCTCTAGAAGGTCTGTGAGTCCATCCTGGCATGCCTAGCCTGCACTCATTCTGGAGGTGCCAGGATTTTCAGGAGCCCTGACTTCCCTGGCAATATCCCTCAGTCACTTGCTTACGTTGGTCACATGGATATCCGCTCAGAAATCCCAGTCAAGGGCCAGTGGGCCTGGGGGAGACCGGCTTCTCCTGCCCTCCAGAAGCGCCCTCCATTCCTCCTGGGAATGCTTCACACCCTCTGTGGCAAGTGGAGCTACTGAACAGGACTCAACCCTGAGCAAGACTGGCTAGAGGTCACACACTGACCCCAGTGGCCCATAGAATGTGGGAAAAGAATGAACTCCTGCACACATGAGGGTTTCTGACGCATTGAGCAATAGGATGATTTGGCAAAGCAGGGCCCATATCTATGCAGGGTGACAGCAAGTGGCTGACCTCCTTGGGTGGGGCAGCTCCCCCCTGTGTCTTCGCTGCGTTAGGCATCAAACAGTCCACTGCAGTTGTCTGCCCGTGAGACCCCCACCTGGGGATTTAGAGCTCACGCAGAGCCTGTAGAGTGGGGGTGAAGAAGCGAGAAGGAAGGCACTGAAGAGGGCTTAGACTGGGAGTAACCTGGGCCTAGAGACCTGAACATTCCTCAGAGCCCAGCACAGGGTCTGGACAGTCAGGTTTGCTGAATAAATACGCGGGTGGATGGGGGGCAAAGGTGAGAGGTGCAGAAAGCCTTTTCCAGATGGTGACAGAAAGACGAGCAGGCGGTGTGCATGGAGTGGGGAGCACATTCTTTTGCCAAGACCCATCTTTGCCTGGTGGAGGGGCCACAGGCGGCACCCCATCTTCCCACTCTCTCTTCTCTCTCAGACCCTCTGCACCTTCTACTTTTCACTACATGTTCTATTTGCCTAGACATCTATTTATTTGCAAAGAAAACTGCTGTCCCTACCCTAAGTGGAAACCAGCACCCCGGGGCAGAGAAGGGAGCACTGGGTGACTGACTGCGGCCAGGCGGTGCGGCAGCCACGAGCCAGACGCCTGGGCACATTCTGTCTGCCGGCCCCAGTGCTCACCGTGACACGAACCCTCTTTCTGTTTCACGCACCATGTGAGGTGCCTGGGGGTCAGGTTCAGAGACAGAAAGGAGAATGTGGGTGGCCAGGCTGGGGGAGGGGGGGAAATTTTCAGTTTTGTTGGCGGGAAGGTTTCTGATGATGGGTGGCGTGGAGGCTGCCCAGCGGTGTAGCTGCCCGGCAGTGCGAACGCATCTAACTGTGGGCACGATTTCACCACACTTCAAGTAGGAAAGGAGCAAACAATACCAAGGTGGCAAAAACCAGCCCAGCTTCAAACCGAGGCTCTTTCCTGGGTGAAGCCGACCATGTGAAAAGAACCAGAGCGGGGATGACTTCCTGGCTGTGTGATGTGACGCTATTTAAGATGACAGGTGCCACTGAGGTCAGAGGAAGGAAGGGGGTAACTGGTGCGGGGGCTGCAGGAAGGCCCGGGCGGGGCAGCCCCCGCTCAGTGAGGACAGTGGCTAGGTGCCCTGCAGCTGGGCTCCCGACACAGGTGGTGAACCCAACAGGCCTGGGGACCCCCAGGCTCCCCTCAGTTTGACGTAAGACCAGAGTTAGAGCTTGATGGCTCACAGCCCGAAGAGATGACTTTGACAAGGAGGTTGGAGAAACAAGGAGGTGCGAGAAGCAGCAGCAGCATTGTTACCAAGGGTT